TTCACATTTCACCAGTCACATCTCCGATTGAATCCCCTACGCCCAGGGCTAGAACCATATGTCTTCCTATCACTTAATCTCCGTCTCTGACATCATCGCTTATATATCACGACATCATACTACGTCATGTGCAGTATCGTACGATTCTTTCTCATTGGTTGATTATTTACAGACTCAGATATCTCCGACTCAATGTTATGCATATAGGTAGGGTAGTTAGCGTAGTTTCTCTTTAGACTTAACCTCTTCGTTCCTACCCAGTGTAGACTCAGACGTTTACCTCTCAATCTATCTGATTCTCTCATCCTTGACGAGTCCTAGTGGTTGTGTGATACCTTTTGCCATTAGGTGAAACATTGATCATAACAGCACCAGAGACTTGTCATTGAGAATATTCTTGATGCAAGTGCCATCAACAGGCACACCCAGTTGAAAAATGAGTGCCCGTGCATCATCGACTTCTCGGTGGTGTATCCTGTCGTCCTTCTGCATGCACCTGATCCAATGTTTCATATCTAACCTCAATCCCATCAAAGGAACCTTGTTCTTCTTTGTGAGACAGCACGGACAAAGGCACTGCCCCAGATTTTTGATCCCTGTAAGAATAACTCTGAGAAGCATTAGTACTGCATCCGAGAATGAATTAATGTACCCACTTCTCAGGATAGTTGGCTGAGTATGTAAAAAAATGAGGGAACACTCTACGAGTGATGCCATCACTACATTTAATTACTATACCATACTCGTAAGCATGCATAAACTTCTCGTCTAGAAGTAGAGCCCATATGGCCTGCATCAGCTCACGCTTACAGTGCGTGTAGACCTGGCTTGTGCAAGGCTTGCCAAAAATACCCATATATTGATCTTGTAGATCTTCGGGCAACTGAAGATCGGTTTAGAGTTAGATGTATATATAGATATTAATGAAGAACTTACTGTTGGAATGTAGGCAACGTGATGACACACAGAGGCAGTCGGTTTGCCTTGAGTATACTTTGACTGGTTGCCAAAATAGAGGTAGAATGGCCAGAGTGATGCGTCACCAAAATTCACCAGATGTGTTGCGTCAGACTAGAACATGAGTGATGCAACAGTGTGCTTGAGGTCATCACCTGCTTCATGAGGCAGATTGTTGATCTCCTGGTAGGTTTTGACCATTTCAGGGCTAGAGTATGCTTCTGAGAAGACCTCAATGTCCCGTCCATCCGGAGATTTCCAGAACTCACGATAGGGTGTCATGTTGTAAGTTTTTGCGACGTCATCCTGGAAAACGGACTCGATAATATCAGTGATCGATTGATGATGCATGCCAGGAATTTCGAGTTCTGGGGCCTCGGCCTCGGCGTCCCACTTCTCACCCTCTTTAGGTAGCCTGATCTTGATGGCAGATTGGCGCCAGCCATATTCCTGGCGGAATGGATTAGACTTCTTCTCCAGGTAGGCGTCGATATTTTTGGATTCCCGGGTATGGGAAAATGAATTGGCATCACTATTATTAAATGGCGGATCACCAACGAAGCCGGTGAGCTGCTGTAACTCTGCAACTGACTGCTGGCCGGTTCCAGAGTAATGGTAAGCCATAAGGAGGCCAGAGGTCGGGTTGGAGAAGGCTGCATAGAGGTCGTCCTGTTCGATCACCTTGGACGACAATCCTTCGGTGATGCGACTCAGGTCCAGAACCCGATCACCTCCAGCGAGTGTAGGAGCATCAGTAACATTCTCAAGGGAATTTTCGTGGGGGGGTACACTGGGCCAGGTAGGGTAAATTCGATAGAGATCTGCTTCGTTAGGCTCTGTCTCGAAGGGGATGAAAGGAGGGAAGTCGTTGTGATCTGACCGCAGCAGGGAAGGTGTTCGAGGACTAGGTTGATCCATGTGTTGATCCGTGATGACATCATTGTGATGTCCGCGTTGCTGACAGGTGGAGGGCGGCATATGCACAAGGTGAGTCGCTGACCCCGGCAAGAAGTCTGCAAAGCGGGTGGGCATTCGGATTCTCCGTCCAGAGCACTGGGAGACAATAGGTGGGGGTGAGGGAGACGGTGCGCGACACATTTCAATCTAGATGTGTAGTTAGCACAATTCCGCTTTAGAAATCAAATTAATACATACATCATTGTCAATGAAGTTGTTGTCCTGATCAACAGACATGAAATCTTGAATCTCGGGTTGATCTGGAATGACGACATCTTCAGGAACGTGCACGTGGGATTGATCACGACACGCCCGCTTGTCTTTTCGCTTCTTCTTCTCGGACTTGCTTTTGCAGGTGAAAAGCTGATCAGTAAACGAAAGATTGAGTGCGCATTGGCTCACATGTGCTGACAGCTGTTTGCATGAGCCGAATGCTGTGCTGCAAGCTATGCAGCAGAGGTCATCAACCATGGATTAAATGAATGCGCAGAAGGGGGGGACACGTCCTCACGAGGTCTCACTAGTTGCAGAATTGATGTATCATATTTAAACGGTCCATCTACTGAGAATTTACATTAATTTAACGACTGAAATGAAGCATTAATCCTGCTACACAATGTAAAATACTTGATGGGAACGTACCTTAAACATTCTCTGTGCTCGATTGCACTAATGAGAGTCGCCAGAACTCCACATTGGAGTATCCTGTGAATCCTCGCCAGGATATTTACCCCCGAGGAGGTGGGATCTCGCGGATCTCAGGATAAGGAGTCCTAGTAAAGGCAGAAACTTGAGTGGTATGTTTGGAAGATTTGCGACTCACCTATTAGACATTGATACATACGATTGAAAGTAAGGTCATATGATCGAAAATAATGTGATATCATGATCGAGACATCTGGGAATATCAAATTCAACATCCGCTGGGATATTCCATGATATGAAGTCCTTGCCAAGTCTGTGGCTATGTTTATCAACATTCATATCAATACCATGGCTAACGTACTTACTGCCCCCGATGCCTGGACCTCTGTCATTAACGGAAGATATGGATCTATGATCGAATGTAATGTGATGTGATCATATGTTGATATCTGTCATGAATTCCAAATATGAACCATTTTTCATTCCTTGGTTTTCCTTCAGCTACTTCTAGTTACCGAACCGGTCATGTGACTTCAATTCCCGTCACTTCTCTGATTGGCTCCCCTACTCCACGAGCTAGAACAATCTCGCTTCTCAAAGAAGAACCGGTCAGATCTTGGGTTTCTGTTTAGTTGCTGTCTTACTCATCTGCTTATATATCATGATGTCATGCTCAGTCATCTGCAGTATCATACAACTCTTTTCTCATTGGCTAATTTCTTTCAGACTCAGATATCTCCTATTCAATGTTATGTATATAAGTAGGTTAGTTAGCGTAAGTACTCCTTAGACTTAACCTCTTCGTTTCTACACTTGTAGTAGACTTAGACGTTCACGCTCAATCCCATCTTGTTATCATCATCTGTGACTGAGTCCTAGTGATTGTGATCTGATCTTTACCATTCGGTGAACGTTAGTCATAACAATATCAGATTCAATCTCCACCAGAATCTTGCAGTCATGTCAAGAACGATGACCTCTAACTCAATCATCACTCAATTAATTCTGACCAGGTGCTTTGGTAACCCTCACCCAGATCCCAAAAATCCCACTGCGCCATGGGATTACTATGTCAAGAAAAGGGAGGAGGACCAGGAGGATATGTGAGTAGACAGTGGCCTCCAGGTAATTTTTCCTTCTTGTCCTGTACTACTATACCATGCACTGTACTTAGTATTTTATTTGCTCAATTGTACATTACATGACATTTGTACACCTAGTTTAGGGTTGAGAATGCAAGTTTGGTGTGCTTATGTGTGTGTGAGCCAATCATGAGCCAGGACTAAAAATGGAATTAATTGAGAAAATTGATATCCGGTATCAATTCATTATAACAAACAAACATTAATAACATGTCATTGATCTAATCTGAATCTTTCTCTCTCCAACATCATGGCTCACTGCAAACACTCTAATTCAATTTCGTCTTCTGGATCTAATACTACGTCTCCAAGTTCTGAAGAATCTGATGTAAGTACCCGCCCCAGCACACCACTGCCCCAGGTATCCAGCAAACGTGGAAAAAATGCGGCAGATGTGTCCACTAAATCATTGGATAAGGACAGACATAAGTCCAAAAAAGCCAGGTAGGTGACACTGTAATATCAGTTGTTCCAATCAGAACTCACATGCATATAGGGGACATAGTAACCCAGTAACAATTGAAAAGAAGACCGAAACGACAAAAAGGTGAGTTTTCTGTGCAGCCAAACTTCATTTGTTGACAAGATTCTAGAAGATCGCGAAATAAGGTCCTTACGCCGTGGGAGCAGTGCATACACATTGCACGTTGGATCCCATGTGGCCTCGATATGTTCTGCGATCTCAAGCAGGCGATCCAGGTGAGTCTACTTTTGGAACAAGAAGCTGCCGAGGCCGAGGACGGAGATGAAATGGAAGAAGAACACATCAAGGCTGCCTGCAGGAAGATTCTGGACACCTGGTAAGTCCAATTGAGTGCATATATGCACACTCTGACCTCATTCTTGCATACTCACACAATTTTCAGTGATACTCTCACTTGTGCACAGTACATGCGCACATTCGAATACATCAACAAACATGCGCCTTACCTTGGGACTCTAATCAGTAGGAGGAAAAAATGCGATGAGCTCGCGCAACTCATTGGCGAGGTACGCATTTTTTTTTACATCAATTGCAACTAACTATGTATTTACAGATGCAAAATATGATTAATCATATGCGCTCTGAGGACACAAGTCGCCTCAAGTCTTGCATGGGCTCATATGCCGCTCCAAACCCGGACAAAGAGCTTATCCGTCTGCCCATCACTAATGACAGCAAGAGCTGCGCTCAAATGGGGTTTAATCACGCCCAGCTGGGCAAATTGTCCTGCTAAGTATCTGGTCAAATATACCAAGGATCCGCATGGGTATGTTTTTTAAAAAAAAGTTATTTGTACTAACAGTTATATCTACAGGATGAAGAACAAGTTTGATAGCGCGTCATTAAAGGTGACCACTGCCTTATGGCCCGCCTTTCTCTATCCAGGCAACACTGCAGGCGAAGATTTTGACCCAGAAGACATTATTGAAGGGCTTTTTCGTGGATATCTTTTGGAGCGGGTAGGTTTTATTCTTATTATATTGGGCAATACTAATACATACAGGTTACTAAACTCATCTTCACCTCTCCATCATCTGCACTCAAGGCCAGTGTCTCGAGCGGAACTCGTGCTTGCAATGCAAAGCTCCATGGGATGAAAGAAGTCAGGGCAGAGCATATTGCATATGCGGCGGTCCAGGTAAGTTTTTCTTTTGCAGATTTAACTTACTCAGTCTGTATTTTACAGGCTCGCTTTGCTATTAGCTCGCTTGAGAAATGGAAAGACCATGACGGTCTTTTCTATTACACTGACTTCTATACTAGGATTGTAAATCTTATTTTGGGGAGGAAGGACAAGGGGTGGGTCAACTCCCTGCTAGGACATTATAATGAGTAAGTGAATTTTTGCGCTATGTATTTATTTAAATTGTTCATTGATATAGGAAACTGTTTGGCAATGAAAACGGTGCCAAGCCTTGTCATTCTCTGAACATAGAGTGTTCCAAGGACAATGATATAATTGCCATGGAACGGCAACTCGCCGCACATGCTTCCAGATCCTTGGACACACCATCTGCACCGTCTTCGGCACTTGATAATCAACAAGAGTCACGTGGCAAGTCCGTCCCTCCCCCTGATAAATCACCCACTCCAGATCCTCTGATAGCCACCTCGTCTCCTCAAGAGTCAGCGCGCTTCCCTACCCCTGATCCTCCTGTTGACTTGCACAAGGCGCAAGAAGTCTTACCTGCACGCTCCCCTACTCCCAATCCTCCTGATAACTCACGCAAGCGCAAGCAAGCCTCCACATCAGCCATTTTCGATGACAAGAGCCCTCTGACTGAAGAAGATGAAGAGATCACTCAACCTACTGAGTGCAAATGAAAGAATGCTGCTGTTCCACCCAAGAAGGCTCTGAAACGCAAGGCAAGGAAATAGTTATTCAAGGTGAGTCACAACTGTCTCATAGTCTGTTCAATACTTATAACCTTCGCTCGCTCGTATTAGGATTCACTCTACCATATCATTTTTACCGTCTCCATTCGCATTCACATCACCCGGCTCATCTGCCCATGTACTACTCTGATGAACTCTACAGTACTCTCATGGACCCACATGTCTCATTTTTTCATTGCAGTCTTCAATGACATCACTCATATGCTTTTTTCGTGATATCATGTCCAGGCGATCGGTACGCAGTTACCACTATGACATTAGATTATATTCTACCATACCACATGTATTAGTATAGCTCAATGATAGGTGGTTATTATGGGATATCATTGTGATCTGATGTTATAACTAAATATAAGATGATGCAATCATACAGCACTCTGGAACATGGCGGCCAGTACAGTGGCTCAAAAAACTGTCCACATGTTTGTGCTATTTCACCATTTACATTATTGTATATGAATGGACAGGTAGACCGGGGATATGTCAGTGGGGTACTCTGTAGTACTCCTTTGGGGCATGAATTTGAGCCCTTGCCCGTGGGAATTTATGGTAATGTGGTGGCACTATAAGCCTTACAAAATGATGACTCATGTGGACAGTTTTTTGACCCTAGATTAAAATTATATAAATCATTTGTTATGACACCATAAAGTCATGCCACTATTAAATAAATTATGAAGTGGTGTCATTATGACATTATTAAACCTATCTCTAAGTATATAATGAAGTGTGTCCCATATATCATAGTCATAATCACCATGAAAACCATCTCCTCTGCTCAAAGGGATAATATCCTTTCTCTGTCTACTACTGGCCTCTCTACTTGTCAAATAGCCTCTAGAACTGGTTTATGTAAGTCTACT